ATAGGATCAAACTAACAAGTTGAACAAAGACAAAAGTGAACTAACCAAGTGTACAACTGTACAAAGGAGATTTCCAATTAGAAATAGGTACTTAAGGAATAGGATAACACAATAGTAGACCATTTGTCTGAGCTAGTACTATACACATCTACAATCTGGAGCCTAGCTTGACCAAGTTCTCTTGAGAAGTTGTAGAGACACTACTGTTTGGCAGACACTGTCCATAATTCTTCAATTTATGTATGACAGCACAAGATTGCACATGACTGACCTCCTAAAGCCCAGAAAAACCCCTATTAATACTCTAGCACACATTCCAGACCTAGTAGTACAGTGAGACAGATGTCAGAATTCCAAAAGGTCTCATTCACCTCAGATCTGCCTTTATGATAGTGAGGCTGAGAAGTATCATGTTGGAAAACCCATCACTGTGTCACTAGTATGCATTTAATACTAGGAGGAACAAGTATTAGATATCCAAGATCTGGTACAAATGAAACATTTTGGATTCCTTACTTACAACAGTAAGAAGTTGGATAATAAGCTTAGTATGTGAATCATCAACACAAGGAAGATTCACAAGTTTTTCAAACCCAATTGTCAAAATTGCATCCTTTACTTCTTCAAACAATGTATCCATCTCCTCAGCTGTTGGATCCAAATTGACTTTCAAACTAAGTAATTCAAGAGCCTCAATAGTCTTTTCTAGGCCTCTAGCAAAGTTGTTCAATAAGAAGGCATTACTACTCCTGAGTTTAAGGCTCTGCACTTTGTCTTCCAGGGTATTTGCCTGTGTCTCTACCAAATACACATTAGATGCTTCAACATCTCCTACAAGTAGTAGCCAAATGTGAACAATTTGTTTCATTAAACTCTTAGGAGTCAGAATACCTTTCTACTGATACAGTCTAGAATTGCAGTTAGTTTCACTGTTACAAAGGACCAGATAAATGCCCTACTCAGCCAATTTAAGATAAAGAGAAAATGTTCTTGAATAGTCATCTACCCAGTCTTTGTCTGTTAGTAAGAGCCAGGTGTTCTTCAACACTTCAAGGGCAAGCTATGATCAAGAAGAGATTAAAAAAACTTATTAATACCTAACACTAATATAGAACCTCATGTGTACTACAGACCTACACAGTAAGACCAGCTTTGTGTAATTGTCTAAGAACTTCCTTTCTAATATGATTCTCTTTGATGAGATTTAAACACCTGTCAGAGAGAAGGTCAGATCTTGTCAAACTTACAACAGGATCATTGTACTGTTTAGCATGTTCTACTATACAATAAGGGTTGACTACTTGTTCATCTTAATGTAGTATAAGAATAATCTGGAAACAAGTGTATAGTAAGTTGAACACACCTATGATTTAGGAGTATTGTTGTTTGTATAACTTACTCTAAGAGACATATTTGCTATAGTACCCTCCAGCAATTTTTCTGCTATAGTGATAGCTGTCTGCTAATGTCTGTCATGAGTGAAGGAATATATGTTACAGGCCCTCTGTACAAGCCATCCCTCCCTGATAGCTGCTTACAACCCCTTAATAGAAGATCTTGTAGCACTTCTCCCTGTTAGCTCTTTCATACTAGGCACTGGCTGTAATCACTACACTTTGTCTGCTTCAGTCTCACCCTCACTTCTACTACTTGAGTCCTCCCAATCAATCACAGATGCCACCTAAATGAATGTGAGTAAATGAACAAAGTGCCTTTGGCTCTGATGAGTATCTTATTAGCTTTGAACCTATGAGTAGATGTTTGAGTATCTATATATTTAGTGCAAAATGCATGAACACATACATAGATCCAAAATGACTTGCCTAAATCAAATAGTGTTGTACATTACTAGGTAGCTCTCTCTAGTATAACACAAGATACATATACTGGTCAGGCAGTGTTGACAGCTGCTCAGAAACAAGGTTAGCTTTAATCTGCTTCAAGTTAAATGTCTAGTGATTTGATTGCTAGTCAAAGACAATCTGTCACAGTTTTCATAAGATAGTCAAATTTTTGCATATTTGAGTTTACCAACCTGATAATGTTAATGAAGAGACATGAGAAAATTTCAAACAGCAAATGTATTACCCTGAGAGATTCAATATACAACTTGTGAAAGTTGAACACAGTTGTCCTTAGAGTGCTACAGGGTTTTCAAAACAAGAGAAAGAACACTGGCTACACTCATTAGCTTAAGTATTATCCAAGTGACCTAAGATTTACTCCCCAATACTTGTCAAAGTCAGTCTACCTTCACACTTTCCTAAACATTATCAAGCTAGAAAAAGAGTCAAGATAAAGTTAGACTCACAACTCTTCCAACCTTACTGAACCCAAGATAAGCTAAAACTATATTATAAAGTGAGTCATTAGGAAACTAGTGAATCTGAACAGCTGACTATCCAGCTTTTCAAATTTGCAAGAGCTTGTACAAGGTCTAATGATCTTCAGAAAGTGAAAATCAGAACAAGGAGATAGCTAGTGTCTGAGACATATACAAACAATTTGTCTGCCTTATGAAGATCATTTAAGAATAGGGCAAGGAGTCAGACATCAGTCAGGACAGTAAAGACTTGCTCTACTAATGTCTGAAAGTGAATGTATAACTTAACTGTGGACAGAAGCTTAAAGTCTGAGGTATTAATGTCCACCCTGTGCATTTTGAGCATGTTCTTAAACTCTGAAGCACCTTGGTACAATAAAGGTGTATTATTTAAGAGAGGCCCTAGCTTACTCTGTAAAGTCATTACAAAGTATTACATGTCTGTCTAGAAAATCATTAATTACTAGAGTACAGAAGAAAGACATTGTAACTGTGAAAGAGGGAATTATATATTTCTTTTAGGTGGGCTAGTCCTAAACTTACTATAGTAGTGAATAGAGCTGTTACTTGCTTTTGAAACTGATATGATATAAATTAAAAGTGTGCAAAACTAACATATGAACAGACTCACCTTTGTATGTCCCTAAAGGCCATGTACTAGGAAAGACAATAAGTGTGAGTCATTTACATTAATCTGTACATACCTCTCCATTTTGTCTGGTTTGTAAGGATTATGGAACTTTTTCCAACCCTGTCTGACATGTTAACAAATCATAAAGGCTATATTAAATAGTACTGACCCTACAGGACCTGTAATTATAACAGAGCAAGCTGTACTAATCACTATATAAATTAAAAACTCGTTTTGAATTGCTGAAGAACATACAGACTTGCACTTTGTGTTGCCTGAGTGTAGGATGCATGATAACTATTTCAAGAACAACAACATTCCAGACCTAAGGACAATAAAGAGATAGGGCTGCCCTCTCAAGCTTAGCTATGCCTCATAGTAGTTGGCCTTGTAGTACTCTCAGATACTATACCAGACCTAGCTGCTAAACTTACAACAGTGCTAGATAGTAAGCCAGAGATACTTAATGATATTACTAACTTGCTACAGTCATCAGGTATATTAGTATGTACAGACAGAGCTTACTGACTGTTACTAGTAGAATACAATATTGAAAACAAAGGTCTATGTGTTCCAAACTAGTGTGTATAGCTTGAGGCAACTTGTCAGATTACACTACAGATAATTTCAAGCTCCTTGTCTTGTCCAAACTAAAGTATCTTATAAGAATAGAGTAAGAACAGCTTAACTAGATGAAAGCCAGGAAATTCTACACACTAAAATGTTAGGAATAGTAAAACTCTAGAAAAATCACACTGATCAATTGACAAATTAATGCAGAACAGTCTAAGACAACCACACACAAGATACTTGTCATTCAAAGCAATGTCAAATGGCAGAATAAGCTAGTCTAGAATCAGTTGTAACACATATTCTCAGAATACAAGTTATACCTCTATTGATTGTTCAGACACAACAGATGAGACAGTAGATAAGAGCCTTTGCTAGCACTCAAGAAGGTCAGCTTTTAGCTCATACACACTATTATATTAGGCATCTAGGCTCTTTGCAAGTAACTATATGTGCCTGTCAGACAATTCACAATACTGTTCTCTTTCCCTTACCTTCTTAATGATCTGAGCAACAATGTGTAGTATGTCTCTTCTAAACTCATACACAGGCATTAGGCACCTTTGAGCAATCACATGAAGTATTTCTGTAGGACTTCCTTCAAAGAGCATCTGTCTATGACTAACCAACAATGTCCAAAACAGAACACTTAAGAAAATTTTCAGCCAAAATTCTACACATGAAAATGATTGTATTGTACTAAGCAAATATAAGTTGGTTCAATAGTCTTTGTACACTGTTTCAACACTCCCAGTCTGTTCTGGAGCAAGATAGTAAAGTACTTCCATAACTTTCTGTTTTAACAGTTCTTCTAAAGTATCAGCCATAATCACTAGAGCTGAAGGACCACCTAATTGCTCAAGCAAGATTGACTAGTTACTAAAGTGTACAAATCACACCAAACCTGAATGGCCATTCAGATGAAATGTATTAGTGTAGACTTCATGGTGAATAATACTATGCCTAAGAACAGTGAGTAGCTCAACACTTTCCTATAATGTAATAAAACATTTTACTTATAAACAAGCTCTAAGTAATGTGTTGATTGAATAGTGAATCTAACAAATAAATAAGTGCTGAACTTCCAAAACAATCAGTAGACATACTCTAGAAACAATACTAGATCTATTATGGTGTAAACATTGTAATCTATCTAGGAACCTTCTCTACTAGCTTTGTCTGAGTATAAGTCCTCCTAAGGCTCTAGAGAGTGGTTTTCCAGAGTAGTTGCTAGGAGAAGTTCATTCACCTTTGACAGAGGGAAGTAGTGTCTAAGATTATTAGGACTAGGATACACAACAAGCAGGATGACACAGTCCCTACTCTCCCTTTTAAAGAATAACAGGACAATTGCCCTTAGCTTTCTTTACTATCTACACAAAAGAAAACACCTAATCAGTATTCAAGTCATTATTTTAAAAAAAAGGCTAAGCAAAAAGAACTATACACTAAGTTCAACACACTCCTAGTCTTAAATCACTCAATCTGTCCCTCATTAAACAAATGTGCAAGCTCAATCTCCTCAGTCTTCCTATCACTATGCTTAACCTCTATCACAAGATTCTTCCCTAGTGTAAAACTCTCCAACCCTTTAATTGTCACCTTATTATCCAGTTTTATATGATTGTAGTCTTCTGGGTTAACAAATGTCAAAGTAAGCATACTCTGCTTCTTCAAATTTGTTTCATAGATACATACAAATGATTTTGTAATGATTGTAAGACTACTAAGGTATTAAGGTCCTAACACAGTGTGTTTGTAAGAGGAACTTTCTCTGTAGTTTAATTCACTAATGACAACCTATTTGATACCTTGTCATAGTATAATATAGTAACTTACAGTACACTACTGTATTCACCTGTAAGCTTGTTCTTCACCTTGTTTGCTTTGCCATTCTCTGTGTTGATAGCTCTAATGAGACAGTTTTGAGAGATGTTTTAGAGGTGGTTACAGTATTTGAGCCAGGTTCTGCTAGCAGAGATGTAATCTGTTACTAATTAAACATACAGATTAAAATCATTGTTCTTGTATCAAGTTGACAAAGTGTACTTACTACACTTGCCCTTAACCTTAATCAAAACTGGAAGGTCAGTCAGAGTCTTTCCATCTTATGGCTAGAACAGTTCTAGCCTCTACAAACAATCACTCTTCAGGTCAATCACAACCTGTATACTTATATAGTCCTTAGACAGAGGCTGGAATGTGTTCTGGCTAGGATTATAACTATGTAGTAGGAGTTTGTTACCAGAGGGCTGTAAGAATACTGTCCAAACTAGTGAGTGTGTTAGTGAGCAGGTTGAAGGTTAGGTTACTAGTAAAGACTATAGTAGTAACAATATTTAGAGAAGTGACAAATGTATAAGTAGTAGGGTTTGTGTTGTTACAGCTAGTAAAGTTACAGTTGTACAAGGTGATGACTGAAAACAAAATTTAAGTATAATGTCACACAGGTAGATTAACAACACTCAAACTTACTAGAGTTCTTGACACCCTTTAGTAGATCCTGACAGTCCTACTGTCTAATGTACAGTCTGTACACATTAGTAAGAACAATACCACCATCATTCTCAAAGGTCTCAATCAAACTGTTACACACAATTGTAGTACAGACTTGCTTGGAACTAGAAGTAATCAAGAACTTACTCTTCACCTGTAGACTATAATCTGTAGCCTCCTTAGTAATTGCTACTGAATGGGTCATGTCCTTATACAAAGAGTTTGTACAAGAGCTGATAAGGCCAACCTTGAGCTCTACTAGCTAGTCATTTTCCTTCACTTCCTCTACAAACTTCAAAATCAGTATAGTAAGATTGGGTATGAACAGACTATTAATGTGTGGTTTAAGCTCTGAAAGGTTAATCTCAATAAGCTGGTCATATTTAGTACTATTGTCTGCCTACAAATTGTGCTCAAAGGATTTTACATACTCTGTAATATCTCTGCACTTTGTAGCCTGGAGGTAGTCAGTCATTCAACTGTTGAACACAAAGATAGAAATCATTACACCAATTATACACCTATGTTACAAATCATTACTATACTAGTACACAACAGAGACTTGACACTATGACTGTAGTACTCAACAATTACACTAGTACTGCCTTTGACAGTAAGAATGCCTGTAACCTTGAGGATGATATCTGACAATACATTAATGTCAGGTCCAATTAAATTTATTACAAAAAGGAAAGTGTACCATTTAGTGTAGTCTAACTACTGAACTTACTAATCAAATTAATACTAATGACTTTTGGACACTTGAGTTCCTACAGAAGATTTGCTATTATGTTGACTGTATCAGCACCTCTAACACTATAAGTAACCATTCCCAGACTGTCAGCATTTGGTGTGTAAGAGTCTATGCCAATTATGCCTCAAGAATAATCTGATAGATAATCCTAGAGTAGGGATGTTAGAAGCCTATACTGTACTGAAAGGCAAGTAAGAACACACACAAAGGGTTCACTAATGCTGGAACAAACCTTTGTAGTCACAGTAGCCAAAAAGTCATAAACCTCCTTATTAATGTCTATAGTACAATTCAAATCTGCTTGCCTACCAATTTGTGGATAAGATAGTTGTAGTAAACAGTAGTAGTAACAGTAACAGTGTCCATTCCAGAAGACATGAACTGGAGGATTGTCATCTGAAATGAAGTTAGCTACCTGAAAAGGGACAAGACTGATAAAAGAGTAACAAACCTGTACAGTTACATCCTGGCAAGCTACACACTGTAAGCAGACAAGAGTTAGTATTGTTGTTACTAAAGGTTATATAGGCTACTTATGTCTGGCCTGAGCTTGAGGTAGCTCTTCCCTTGGTTGATGTCCTGGTTATGTAGGTTGTCAAAGTGTTTATAGAGAACCTTTTCTCCTAACATTGTCAGTTTCAGTAGTTAGTTCAACCTAACAAGCTGATACATACATTATTACTATAATAACCAAAAATCACATACTTTAAGTACACAATAGTAAGGTTATCCTTAATACACTAATAATTAATAAAACTATTTGGCTCCAGTCTACTCATTGTAAGTTTCTTGTTACTAATGTAGGGAGTAGTAGTAGTCATACTAGTAGCAGGCACTTTACAGACATGACTGTACTAGCAGTCCTGTTAATAAGGTTGAACATTGTTAATAATGACAGGCAAGTAATAAGGGACAACTATGATAAGTGAGTAAGGGAGAGGGATGACAGTGACAAGGTGGAAGATGAGTAGAAAGCAAAGTTGGGGAACTGGTCTGTCTAACCTCTAGTTCTCTCACAAGCCTAGTACAAATTCTAGACCTATAGACCCTACTTTGATGACAGACCCAAGCTTCTACTAGCTGACCACTATAATAGTATTACCTTTGAATGCTCCATTTGTAAGCAGTATTAAATGAATTGACCTGTATCTACTGTTGATAGACTGTATTGTATTACCTGTTGCCTTGTAAGACTCAAGCTTAACTGTACATAATCAAATTCAATACTCTCAACCTTTAGATTAATAAGTATGAATGTGACCTATAAAATTATTAGAAGAGTTTGAAGGCTCTAGGAGGGTTCATACTCACCTTAATATCCCCTCTGCTCTTCTTATTAGTGAAAATGGTCTTCAACCAATCATGTCTCTCAACCATAACCTTAGCTAGAGTAATAGTAGTGTTAATAATAATAATAGAGTTCTTCTTGTTTATAGAAAGGCCCTTTGAAGGAGGAGCCCAGAAACCATCTTTAATTAACTGGCTCTAAGTAGAGAGATTCATGTTTAGCTAACAACTAGTATGTGACTTGAGAGCCTTTCTAGTAAGGGGAGTCAGAAAGTTTGTAAAGTATAAGAGAGAATGTTCCTCAGGTGAGATTTTGTAGAGGAGGCCAACACTAAAAGCAACTTGTTATATTGTCTTCTAACATAACACTCAGACTGTGCCTGAATAAAGTTTCCTATGAGATAGTCTGAATTGTGTATAGCCTTTACTAGTAAAATGTTCAATAATGAGCCTACTCTATCAGAGAGAATCTGAAGTATAATTTGTGTAAGTACTAAAGTAGAATGTATCTTCTCTGAGAGAGGTAAGACACAATAGCCCTAACAAAGCCAGGAGCTACTAATTCAGATTTGAGAGTGTTTGTCTTGTCTGACTCATCTTCTATAATAGATGTAGTATTATACACAATGTAGAATGAGCCACTTTACAACTTTAAGGAGGTACTATTATTGTTGACTATATACACCTTTAGTAAGCTATTCCTTACATACTCTATTAGAACATTGTTCAGCTGACTGGATCCTAAATAGAAGATTGGATGTGTCCAAAAGGGGGGACTGTGACCTAGACATAATTAACTTCAACCATTTTGTTTACACACAAGGTAAGCTATCCTTTAGAGGAAGTAGGTGTAAAACAACTAGTATTAAATAAGGGACACAAGACACAGAATAACAAGAGTACAATATGAGCAGCTCTCCTGATTCTGAGATTACTTAGACCTCTACTATCATCTTTGAATTTGGCAAGACATTAATAGGAAGACAGTAGGTACATTTGATATATTTGGGGAACAAGTCAGTATAAATTGTTAGTCTATTAACAGTAGATAGTAGGAATGTTGATAACAAACTTCTCATATATAGCTTTCTTACTCAATGTGTTGGTAGGCTGACCACTCCTAAACAATATAGGACCCTGTAGAGAAGTAGGAAGGAGGTTTCCAGAACAAACAATTCCTTTCTTGACTCCTACCTGTTTGTGAACACACATAAAGAGCTATCTCCAATTTTGAGTGTTAATATCTCTTAATTAGGGTTCTCAAGCAGTAGAGGCTTAAGGAAACACAGGTCAATGACAACAGGGCTTGATTAGGCCTTTTGTACTTCAAGTGAGACAAAAGTAGCAAGAGTAGTAGGGGAATAATAGGAATACCATCTACAGTATAATTCTTTAAAGGCCTGAGCTCCTTTCCTACCTCCCAAGTTCTGACATATACATTAGTCTGTTTGTTAGTAGATGGCAGAACAACAAATGATCCTAGCAATCATTACCCATATGCTCTAGAACTTGCTCTTTATGTATAAGAGTCCAAATTGAACAACATTGTTAACAAACTTCTTGTATACAGCTTTCTTACTCAATGTGTTACTAGGCTAACTACTCTGAGACCCTACAGAGAAGTAAGAAGAAGGTTTCCAGAACAAAAGATTCTTCTCTTAACTCTAGCCTGGTTGTGTCTTGTCTTGGATTTTGAGTGTTAGTGTCTCTTAGAGAAACACAGGTGTTAACACTATCTAAACAAATACTATGAATCACACAAACTTACAAGTATGTGTAACTAGGCTATTGTACAGCTTTATCACAGATTCCAAAAGGTGCTAGGGACAATCTCAGCATTAAGATTGTTAGCCAATTTCGACTCTCAAGCAAACTGGTTGGTTTATTACATAAGCCTTGTTGATTCACTGAATGTTGTGTGAAGTAGTATGTTTAACACAGTCTGAGCATTTACAAAATACACTCTGTAATAACAGCTGTAGTTATGAAACTCACAGAACAGCCCTGGAAAATGAATTGAAATGTAATACTGAATAGTAAGAAGTTGTCTTACTCAGAAGGGTCCTCTTCCTTTAGACAATAGGCCTTCAAAATTAAAGAAAATAAGTAGTAAGTAGGAGAATTAAGAGATTGGATGAGAACCCACTTTTGAGAGCATTAGGACAGATTCTATATAGGGTGCTATAGATATTAAATGACTAGAATTAGTACAGGGGCTTTGATGGAAGTGTGTATACTATATGATTTTACAGTCAATGTACTGTATTGTAGCTACAAACCAAATATTATGTAATAATCATTTACTACAACCCTCATACACATATATATCCAGGAGTACTTATAGTCATTACTACTATTACAGATGTAAAGTATTAATACTTTGTAATACAGAGGAATGGTCAGTTTTAGAGTATAGAAAAACTAGAAGTTCTACACATTAGACACATACATGACTAGGCTGTAGACTACAGATTGTACAGTGCTAAGTTTTCAACAATAGGGTTTGCTCCCAATTCTTTTCTTTTCCAAAAGTAGTAACACTAATACACTACATCTATTAAAGCTTGTCTGAGTGTACTAGCTCATTCCTTGTGACTGAATTGGATCATGAATCTTTCATTAAGGGTAAGGCCTAGTATTGTTAAGTTTAAGTGAGCTTACAGCTCAGCAAACCTCTCCTGAAGGAGTCTGTTTATAAGAGGCCATGTTCCTGTGTGTGTAGTCACCTATACACATTCTAATGAGTATCAAAATTGTGCTTAAAATAATTGTACTCACACAGCTACTACTTGTGATTCTTGACCATCTATTACCTAGTAGGACTCTCCAAAATACTTTAATTTCTGTTTTTATATATGAGATATAATGGTGATTTTCTCTCTTAATAAACTAGACAGGATACTCTAGAGCTTCAGAAAAGCAGCTGTGGAACTCAGCTAGTGACAGTATTCTTTCCCCTGTAATAGGCTTAGGGAAGGCCCAATTGTTGAGCCCCTCTGTCATGTTCAGTACTAGAGCTAGATAGATTGGATCTGACTGAAACAGATCACACAACTTCACAGTTACAGAATACTATGATTAAGACACTACTACCTTAGCAACTACTCTCAGGTGGTGGTTAACACTGAATGCCAGGTCTGGCACCTAGAAATGACACTTGTTGTCAGGTTGTGAGTTGAATGGCAGCTGGTACAGAATGAAGATAGCTTGATTCATGTTAAGCTAACATAACAGTCAGATAGACACATGAAAACAAAGACTGCTAGTACTTACCTTATAGTGTGTACTAGTAGTATTAGTAGGTGCAAATGGCCTATAGTGTTACAATCCTCTGCTCTCTTACCTTCAGTTCTAAGGGTTCTGTACCCTTCCATACTGGAACTCAGGACTTTTGTCCCTTAAGGGTACTGTCTATAGACTATATGTGTACTGACTCTTACTACTACCCTACCTTACTTTATCATTCTATTCCTTTGACTACTCCTTCATTCTCTGTTCATTCTATAGTCTCTTACCCTTTGTCCATCCCTTCATTCTTTGTACCTTTATCTTTGACATTCCTTTCTTTCATTCTTCATAGCTTATCATTCTTAGTAGCTCATACTCCCTGAGTGCTCTTGTATAGTTTAGTATATATAAGTGTATAAGATCAGACTGGTCCTATAGTCTTGATCTTGTCTACTCTAGGTAGTCCTGTACTCTTAGGCTCACTCTATATACTCTACTCTTGTCTCACTCTCTCTCTCTGCCTGTTCTGTGAGTTCCAACTATGTTCTAGTACTTGTGTTCTGTATTTCTGTTATGTAGGATAGTTGTAGCCTAGGTCCCCTTGCTAAGCCTTTGAGTATTGAGCTAGTTCTACTTATAACTACTAATTCAGTAGGACAGTAGGGGTGGCAGTCAGTGTAGGAGGGTCCATGTTTACACTACAAAGGGATTGACACTAAACTAAAAGGGGTAATGAATAGAAGAAGGGTGGCAAAAGTTTAAAAGGGTTTAGAAAGTTTAAAATTTAAAAATGTAAAAGGGTTAGGACAAAGAAAAGAGATTGACACAACAGTGAGTACTAATGCTCAAAATGTAGGAGAGTTGTAGAGTAGTAATGAGTAGTCTTGATCTGATGTCAGCAACAGTATAGAGGGGACATACAGACCTCTATCTAAGAGGCCTTTACTAACCATGTGCCCCTAGCCCCTTCAGAACCTGTTCTAATTGTTCTGGAAGTTACAACCTGTTCTAGAAAGAAAGTGCATATAGTCTACCCTTCAGACTTTAATAGGTAGCACTTTAAGGACTTCCAGCACTAAGTCAAACTATACATGGCTACTACTTTGACTGATCTA